AGTCGCTGGCAGCTTTCAGGGATTGTGAGGTAAGGCAGAGGATGGGACATGCAGCGTGAGAGACCTAGTTTCACATTTCCAATCTGCCAGACTTCAGGAGGCTTCAAACAAAGACTCCGTTCCCAAAGTGCAGCTTGCGTGGCACTGCAGGATGGGTCCGTCTGTTCCTCCAGTTTGAGGTAAAATGTAAATGCATGTTGGGCCAGAGGGAGCAAGCAAATGACTCTATAGTCTGGTAATTAGCACACTTGCTTGTAAATTGGGACAGACAGATTCCAGTCCTTGTTCTGGTGAATATTTAAGACCGCTGCTCTGAATCAGACAGAGGGGAAATTTTAAACCCTGCTTCTCCACATCCCAGGGCAATACAGTACCTAGTAAGCTAGAAGATGCATAGGACTTACGGGAAAATCAACTGAATCCCCATATCGATGTAAAAAACTGTTTAAAAAATGGAAACAAATGAATTTCATACTGTTTTAAACTTACCACTTTTACTAAAAACATATTTGAGGCTAACCCAGAACAGGATATTTTTCCAGCCTAAGTTGCTGAACCTAACACAGAACTCTCCCTGCAGTCTGTCTTCTGTGTCATCTATTCAGTCTGACACTTCTTACCAGCAAGTTCAGTCTGCTATCACCATTATATGCTTCATCAATAAAATCACCTCACCATTTTCATTAATATTTTCACCATGAAAGCTACAATATAATTAAGCAGAAGGCTGCTATAGCACTTACTACTTTCTGTTGACCTGGTCAATGTTTGCCCCAGTGTTTCCTATGTTACTCCATTGACTTGAACATAGTTTCTTATCCTAGCCAGGTAATTTACATTTAGGACACAAAGGAAATGGACAAGAAATGGTGGGTTATAAACCATATAGTGTCAGCAAGAGGCATAGTGTCAGCAAGAGGAGAGGGGACCCTACAGAGGGTGTGGTCAAGGACTAGAGGACAGAGCCTGGGGTGCCTGCATTGGATAGTCTTACAGATTTAAAAAATAGGGTAATCATTTTTTCAAACTTTGCTACATTTGCTAAAAGCTGGTAGGATGAACAGTGGTTCGACTTAGTCCTGAAAGACAAAGAAGGTATTGGTTATGATAGTGATTCACAGCGCAAGAAGCTATACAGGCTTTTCCATCTTACTGCGCCTGCACCATCTCTGAACATGTCTTGGTCTGGTCCTGGCCTTCAGGGTTTTGCAGAGTGGGTCCCATCACAGAACTGATGTTGAAAACCGAATTATGATTTATGCTGTTGGTAAAATGTAGAGTTTTCCTCTTAACTAAAATGGAATATATAAATGCTAGCTAAATGCTAACTAAATATACTTGTAATTTAAGGAACTCTATTTTTTTCCCTTTCTTTTCAGATCATGTGGTCGTCTGGCTCATTATTCCAGAGAAGGGGACTTTCCCCAGAGTTACCATTTCTTACTAGGGTTATTCTCCTTTCTTCTGAGGGTACAGCCCTCTTATATCCATGATGAGGTCGCTGTTATAGAACATAAACTTTTCAATAGAAGACTCTATAAAAAGTCAAAATACGTAAGAGGCCAAAGGAGGTAAAAAGGCCTAAAAATAACATTATTAAAACCATGTAAATTAGTTGGTTCAACTCCAAAACATGATATAACAACTAAGGTGGAACTGATCCTTTTGCCTGCCTTCAGATTTTTTTGTTAAGATTGTACTGCTGAAACTTACTACTGTACTTTAGTTGTAGTGTCGTTTTATCTGTAACTGAAGTCATTGGTTTCCAGCTGGGAAAGTTACCAAGGAAACTGTTTATTGCTCTTTATTTCCTCACTTTGCATCAAAGCCAACAGGAAGCTATGAACCATGTTTTTTGTCATAGTTATACATGCTTCAAGTGTACTGGACAGCACATTGGCATCTAATTACATTGTGAGACTTTGCAATTAAGATATCTATTTTTTTACCTACTGTTATATGACAGCAAATATATTTCTAGAAAGTAATGTTTGCTTTGTTTTGAAATAGTGTGTTAACAAATAAAAGGAGCAGTTGGTTGATGTTTTCACTGCAGTGATTTTTTTTAGTCAAAGTTTCTAAACATGCTGTTCTGGAACAACTCTGGCACTGCTTTCTACATTTCCTTGCATCCTGTATGTCTCCCAGTCTCTTGATGTGCCTGAGCCTCTCGTTCACGTTCATGTTTTACTCCAGGCTTCACAGATTTTGCAGCTGCTTTCATATCTTTTATATCTTTTATACCCCTACATACTGTCCATCCTGTTTCTTGTGCAGCGGTATCTGCCAGGTCCTCCTATCATTCTTCTTTTGCAAAGCTACTGTCATTTAAATTTCTTCTGACCACTTTGTAATTCAGCATCTTCAGCGGCTTGCACCTCAGACATTATACCAGTTTCTCATGCTCAGTATTATTTATGCACTGTGGTTTTAAATTGTCCCAGACAATGTGTAAATGAAGTTGGGTGCTGCCACTAAATTAAAGACACCGTAACATACGTATATGTTGAACAGAGATGTTGAGTAGATACTCAGATGGGTAATGCTGCTTTCAGTTGAATGAAATAAAATTCAGCAACTCCAGCCATCAGTATGGGCAGAGTACAGAAGTTGCCAAATCCATTTGATCAAAACCAAAATCAGTAGCTAAGTGTTATTATAGACAAGAAAAATGGTGCCTGCAGACTTTACAAAGAGTACTGTCTTCCTTCCTGAGCAAGGACTTCAGTAAGATGCAGTGTGGGAAGATAAACAGTTCAGTGAGTAGACTCTGAGTATAATGGAAGTGTTTAAAATCTACTGCAGTTCAATCCATGAAGCCATTGTCTAAATAACTGGAATAGGTGAATGATAGGAGAGGTGTGCTGCTCTACCTGTCTGGAGCTAAGTAATAAAGTAGTATGCCAAGCACAGGCAGAGCAGACAAGACTTAAAGATAAGTTGTCCTGGTTACTTCAAAATGTTGGCAAACCAGGAGGCTTTGCCTGCTGAGTGGAGGCAGGAGGTAAAGAAGTGTGGGGTTCTGATTTAAGAGTACAGAAAAGACAGTTTGGGTGAAAGTGTTTACTTTTTCGATATTTTCTATAATTATTGTAGAATAGGGATTTAGAGCAACAGTCCTAAAAAGTGGTTGTGACATGCAGATGAGAAGTTATAGTTTTAACCATACAGAGCTAAACTGTACTTGATGGTGGAAAAAGAAAGAGCAGACTGGGTTGTTGCTTGTTGTATGTGTTAGGGATTTCGTAAGTGGGTATAGTTTAGTAAAATCTATTACCACATTGTGCAGTTGTGCATACATACCTCAGACTTCTGATGAGATGTGTCTTGAACTGATGTTTACATTAATGGACTCAGAATATACCAGTTTGAAGCTCATGTTGTGTCTGGTGTTTGGGTTTTAAAATTAGCCATTATCTATTATGTTTGACCTCACCTGAGTGAATTGCTAAACTTTGTAAATATTTGGCAAAATTACTGTGTTCTTTTTCTAGATGGGTGTTTGACTTAAAAATACACAGAAGGGTAATACACGTTGTCACAGTGCTTCCTCAAGCGACTGAAAGTGTCTCATTCTTTTACTGTAATATCTGTTAAAGGTTTGAATTAACTATCTAAAAGACACCTTGTTATACTTAAAGGATTCATTTAATTCAAAAGTCTTTATTTGAAAGACTTATGCACTTAATTATAGGTATACCTTTCTTTTAAAACTACTGTAGTAGTAAAATCTGAGCTTCATAAATTAAAAATACTGTGCTCATTGTTACATTGTTACAAAACTAAAAAAGCTGCCTTAGATGTTAGAATAAATTAAGGCTGTACTTTAATAAACTGGAATAAAGCTTGCAGTTAATCATCAAGAGCCGTGTGCCTTCTGGACACATAGGTTAAGAGTCAGATTTTAAAGTAAAGGGTGTGCCCCTAAAATACTTAATGTTAGTTCTATCCAGTTTAATCAATCAACACTTATGTTGGACTAATGATGTTGAAGAAGCTGATGAGCCACAAGAGTGCCTTATCTTCAGTAAAGTGTAGTTGAGCATTCTTGGGACAACTACTTTGAGTCCAGTTAATATAACCCTGAGGTGGAGCTGTGCTGGTTGAACAGACAGCTACCAGTGGATAGCTGAAGGGTAGGGTGTCTGCCACAGCCCAGCCCTTCTAACCACCTCCTCTATCTACTTCTAAGGTACAGCTCCTTTCTGTAACTATTTGCTGAAAATGTCCAGATAAAACCCAGCTTTCTCATAGCTACTTTTTTGTACTTCTTCCCTTGGAAATTTTAAGTAAAGACTCAAGTTTGTTTTGTTTCCTACTCTAAAAGTTGAATGAGTTCTTAAGTATATAGATAAAGGCAAGTGGGTTATTTTAGATTAAACTTTTAAAGCAATGTATGTTGAGAAGACTTAGAATAGTTAAATAATTATTAACTTGGACAATAGCAAATCAGTTATTCTGAGACCTGGATGTGCCTTCTGAAGGGAATTTAGGCTTTTTTCTAGATTGTGTGTAACATTTTAACACACTGCTTTTTTCTATCTTTAAGAGTGCAAAAGTAGCCTTGCTTTATGAATTCTCCCAAATAATGCAACCTTTCTATTGTTTCAGTGGAGATACAGAATCACAGAAATAGTTTGGGTATAAGGGACCTTAAACTCATCTAGTTCCAACCCCCTGCCATGGGCAAGAAACCTTCCACTAAACTAGGTTGCTCAAAGCCACATTCAACCTGGCTACGAATATATATTTATGAATATATATACACATATATCTGAAAATGACAGATACCTCCTTTTCTTTTGAAACATACAGCATTCAGCAGAATAGATACTTTACCTTACTAGGTTTTCACTACCTCAGTGTGTCTGCATTCTCAATAGCAACTCAGTCTCAGTAACATGTATTTTTCTTTTTAAAGCTTTTACGATTTTCCAGACATGAAGGAGGGGTGTTTGACTTTCTCCTTAACTTCTTACACAGAGTGAAGGCCCTGAACCTGATTTAACCAGAGAATGAGAATCCAAAGCCCAATGCCTGCAAGCAATGCTGGTTTAATTTATTGGGCATACTGTGTTGCATGGGCTTCACTGCAATTATATATTCCCTAACCCATTTTTAGCATGACCCCTGAAATAACCGTGCTGGGAAGATTTGAGAAAGCTCTGTGCAATATTACAGGCAATGCAATGAGTAACTCACTCTCTAACGACTTCTTGGAAGGGTCAAAAACCCTTCCTCAGAATTACTTTTCTCCCTTTATGGACAAACAAGACTTTTGCTGATGGTCCTGAGGAATTATTTTGGGGTATTTATGGTAATTTTTCAAGAGGATGCTTTTACAGGGCCAGGAGCAAAAGAACCACAACCCCTAGGGCTTTTGGGAGAGGTGAGGTCTGAAAATGTTAAGTCCTCAAGGAAGATGTGTGCTCCATGGTTCATTTGCACTTTCCCCATGTCCTTTCCCCACATCACTGCATTTGTCGTTGTACTCAATGCAGAATGCTTGCTTTCCGGTATTTCCTCTGCAGTTACTGGTCTTGTTGCTCCTCACCTGTGAAGCTCCTTTGTTCCTGGGTCAATTAGATGAGGGAGAGAGAGCATAAAGGGGATGCCAAGATGTCGAAACAGGTGCATAAAAGAGCTTTCCTCAGTGCTGCTTGTGCTAGAAACAGTGAACAAGAGGGTGAGTAAGGATTGGCAGAACGGGAGATGATGAATGCTTGTGTCCTCATGTGAGGTTATAGCTGCCCTTGTACAACTGCTAATGGCAGCATTTCCAGAGCCAGAACACTCCTTGCCAATCCTCAGCACCTACACTCTGCCTCTGGCAGTACATCAGGGAGTTCTAAAAGAAAATATAAGCACATTCCTCTTGATAATCTGACATGGCTGCTCTGTATTGTAAAGTATTCTGTGCTCATAGACCACCCTGTTGTCCTAGCAGTGGCTTTGCTCATTGGTTGCAGACCCCACCATTGCCTCCTGAGAATGCCACCATGTGTGTTGTTAGTGTCTGTGTTGTGATCTAATATCTTGCTCTGGATCCTGGGGTACTTCTGTGCCACCTTTACGTGGAGGACACTTGCAATAGCTGGCTGATGGAGCATTGCATACCTCTGACAGGGCTGCTCTAGTGGTGTCGCATAGAGTGCAAGGGTGAAGATGCTGCCACTTGACAGGCCCAGGGAAGAGCATCCTAAAACGATATCCAGGTGCCCCACCTCTCAAGGTGAAGGCATTGGACTGCAGAGCTAGTGAGTTCCTGGTGACCCATCAGCTCCTCACCAGCTAGGCAGGCTTCAGTTCCACAGGCAGGCTGGTTCCTCTGCTCCTGTGCAGGACCTTGGCTATGGCCTTGTGACCACCACTTTCAGTTTGCTCTGATGCTAGGATGTGAAGCCATCCACCTGGATCTCATCTGCACAGTAAGTCATGCTGTGTTGATAGAAATTGTGGCAGAAAGTTTTTGTGTACTTGAACTGAGCTCCGTGGTGCTTCTAACTCCTAACTGGGCGGTGGGGTGATTTCCATGCTGTGGACCAGAGCGCATTAGGCAGAGAACAGCATGCAGTGAAAAAGCTGCATACACTGTCCTCTTGCTATACCGCTGTCAGCCTGCGAGGCAGGACCTGCGTGCACGCAAGTCAAACCAGGGGAAACATAATATTAAGTAGAGACAATAAATGTTCAGTGAGACTGGATAACCTGCTGAAGATCTTGTAGATAAAATTCTAGGGTTCAGGATAACTTTGCTTTAATATATAGGTTGCTGTAAAATTGATTAATTTACATTGTAGTGATTTTGGAGGGTACTCAGGCTGATGGAGCTGCATCTCCTGCCCCTGAATAGTCTGTATGCTCTCAACAGTGTCTACATTATCTTTAGGGTTCAATACAGAACCAAAAGGGAATTTTAAAGAATGCCTGCAAGATTACATATGACTGAAGTGAAAAGCAAACTGTTTCTTTAACTTTTCCGTATTTCACATGTGCTTTCGTTTTTTTACCCTTCCCCCTCCCCCCCCCCAGCTTTTTCCAGCTTCTCTTTCCAGCTTCCTTTCCTACTGTCACTTGTCTGTCTTTCCACTGTACCTGCTTTCACCTTGCTTCCTCTAGTGAGTTCATGAACATCTTCATGGGTGTTTCTCTGGTTTTCTACCCCTTTGATGCCTTCGGGCTTATTCTCGGAGAGTCAGTGATCAGCTTCACGCTTGCTCTTCCAGCTCTGTCGTTAGTAACCACAGGCCTGTTGGAGAAAAGCAAAGCTTGCCTGGTGTATTGTGTAGTGGAGAGTACAGAAAATTCACTGCTCCTTACAGCAAGCTCTGCAGCAGGGCCCTCACATCTTAGGGGTTCGGATTAGGTAGTCTTGTTTTGACTCCCTTCTGCGTTTGGTGAAATCAAAACTGCTGCTACAAACTTGATGCAACTTGTTTATTGCACAGGCGTGAATGGCCAGTGAGTGTAGATGTTAACAAGGATGAGATTTTAAAGCCTTATTTATTAGGTAAGTCATCACAGTAGCTAATCCTTGTCCAGAATAAATCTCAGTTTCTCTAGGTAGCGATGACAAAAGATAAAGACTAGGAAGAGGTGCAAGCAAGTTGAGACAGCACTTGGCCACATGGTTGCAAGTGGCATGTAACTTCTGTGCGGTTCCTAATGTGTTTTGAGAGGGAGACGAGTGAAGAAGGTAAGAATACTGACAGGAGGACCAAGGCAGAGGCAAAAGTAAATGGAAGGACATGAGAGGTGGAGGAGAGCAATGAGATTGGGGTGAAAGGGTCGAGCGAGGGAAGAAGTTGGATGGAACAGTGCAGGGCAAGGGGAGTCCTGCCAGGGCGCTGCCGCACTAGGCTGGCATGGCTTTATACCAAAGCAAAAGCTCTGCTAAATCCTTTTGTGCTTCTTCCCTGATTTTATTCAGCAATGATGCAACCCAGTTGGTGACATCACAGAAATACACCTACCAGTGGTGTTACAGAGCCTAGATTGTGACCGGCAGGTTAGTCAGTGGTGTCACAATCCAGTGTTTATATCATTGTCTCCTGAATGTGGAAGTGATTCCTATGTCGGTAATTACATTTTCATCAACAGATCAGGCTGTTAGGAAAAGCCATTCCTTTTGCAGAGACAACAGCCTTGATTTACTTGGAATAAAATCATGGCAAATTCTAGTTAAGTACCAAGTGTGGCACATCATTAAGATTGTAGCAGTTTGGGTGCAATGTAAACATGTGACTGAGCTGCTGTATCTGGGTCACTTACAGGGGAGTATTATATTTTATTGCTAGTGAAAAGTATGCGCGTATGCCAAAAAGCAGCGATTGTGTCTGTGCATCCCAGGATTCTACAAACAGCAGGAGGGAGCATGAAGCACAGTGAATAACACCCAAGAACGTTACCAGTCCTTCCCAGTAGTTGGGATTTTGAGCTGGTTTTATAATTTGTATTGGAAACATAGCAAGTTATACTCGTTTGGAAAAATGACATCTTAATCAAATGACAGTATTTTTTCATATGTGAGAGCAGATAAGAAATCATCTATGTAGTACCAAATTAGATTTTTAAAAAGGATTAAAAATATAGAACACCTTTTATTGCATGTCCTAAAGAACAGTTTACATCAGTTTGTTTCACAGCATGAGAGCAGGATCCTACTTCAGTAATGATATTAATCTTTTGCCATCCTAGTGGCAGTGTCTGCAGATCGCAACAAACATTTTGTTTCTAGAATGCTAGCTGTAATCCAGTCAGAGCATATGAAACAATTTTCGGGATTAGACCCTTAGTGAAAGTTTGTTCCATTCAGTTTCGTATTTCCTTCAGTTGGCTGCTTGAATTGTGCTTCTATAATTTTGCATTGGAGTATATCCTGTACAAATAGGGAAGAGATTTCGACCTAGAAGAAGAGACCTCTTATTAGTGTGCATACTTCTAAATTACAGTAGCTATCTGCAGCATCTTGACATATGATAGATAGCATTGTTGCTATATGGGTTGGATTCAACTTGTTACTTAAACAACCAACCTCCCACCCTTATTTCTCAAGGAGAAACTTAAGGGCTTTCCGATTCAAATTCACCCATGCCACTTTGGATCTATCTGATGTATTTGTAATGTTGCTGCTGTTAAACCAGAGGATTTAAATGCATTTCCAGCAGTAGCTCCATTGTAAACCTTTCTTTCTCTGCAAACCCGGGTTCACCTGTGAGGCATGTAACGATGCTAGTCCTATACCAGTCAATGCAGCATAAATTCAACGTGCCTTGTTTCGTTTTCCTAAAAGCAGGGTTAGTGCAGGAGCTATAATGGTGTACGGGATGGGAGAGGGAGAAGGGAAACCCTTTCTTAGTGCGAAAAAGCTGCCCGGGTGCTTCCCTCATACCCCGCTTCTGGCGTTAGCCTTACCCCCGTGAACGCGTGCCGGGGGGTAGTGAAACCGGACAGAAAACGTGTTTTGTGTTGGGTTTTATGTTGTTTTTTTTACCTCAGGAAAGCGGCCTCTGACAGTGGAGCGCACTGCTCCCCCAGAGAGCCCCCAACCGCGGAGCAGCACCTTCCCCGCCAAGTTTTACTCGTTCTTGCCCCGTGGCCAGTACCCCGCAGTACTGCCCGGGCCACCCTTGGCTCGGCTCTGTTCGCCCCGGTCCCTTCGGGCCGCCTCCGCGGGCCTCCGTCCCTCACGGAGCGTCGGCCCCGCCCCGCCCCGCCCGGCTGTCCAATGGGGGCGCGGCTGACCCGCCCCGCGGTCCGCGGCAGCCAATGGGAGGCGTAGCGCGGCGCCCGTCCACCTGCGGCTGCGGAAGCCACCTGAGCGGGCGAGAAAAGCCGACAAAACCCGTCGGTGCGGCGGGCTGCGCGCTGCTTTCTACGCTCCCCCCGCCTTGCCCTCCCGACCAGCTGGGCCAGTTCTGCCGCCCGCTGCCTCCGCCAGACATGACACAAGACTACGACAAGTGAGTGAGCCGGGCGGGGAAGGGGACAGCCGGGTCCGGTCCGACCGGTACTGTCGCCCGTCAGGGGGGCTGCGGCGAGGGGCTCGCCGCCTGGGGGCCGGGCCGGGGAGACCCACTCTCCCTGGGGGCCCGCCCCCCTCCATCTTCTCGGGGGAGTGACCGGAGGCTGCGGCGGAGCAGTGCGAAATGGCGGGGGGGGGGGGAGGAGGAGGGGGAGTTGAGGTGGGGTGACGGCGGATGAGCCCCGAGGGGGTCCCGGCGGCGCAGCGGAACGACCCCGGCGGCCTCCCCACCCCACCCTGCGCAGCGCAGAGAGTAGTGAGGTAGGGCCGGCTTTGAAACCCGACACCGGCAACGAGGCGTGGGTCAGCGCCGCCGCCGTCCGCCCCCCGCCGCGCCTTAAAAGCGGGCGGCGGCGGTGAGCGGGCCGCGCCGTCGGGAGGAGCGGGCGCCGCCGTAGCGCCGGGTTGCCCCACTCCCGGGGCTGAGGGAGGCGGGCGGAGCCGCAGCCGCAGCGGCGGGCTGTGTCCCCTGCCCCGCCAGAGCGCAGCGCCACGCCGCTGCCCCCATGGACTTCTACGAGGCGCACCCCTCCGGCAAGGTGGATTTCGGCAGGTAAGGCGTCGGCCGCCGGCCCGCAGGCGAGCCCCGAGAGGGGTTCTCGGTGTGGTCGGTTGCAGCCGTCTCGTACTGCGCGAAACTAGGAGTTAGAAGAGTTAAAACAGAGCTCGGGGTGTGTTTTCTGTAACTTCACGGTGTTGCATGCCGAGACGTCTTCTTCAAACGGATCCTTTGCCGTTTTAAACGACTAAGGTTTGTTACTGCACTTGTCACTGTGTCCCTCTGGTGACGGTGGCCGTGGACGCTGTAAGTGAATGGAAAATGGGAAAGCTCTGAAGTGACTTGAAGAACTGATTCCGAAGTTACTGTGTTTTGAACGATCGGCGATTCAAATGAACTTTTTCTTTTTTTTTTTTTTTCTTTTTAGGGAAAGTGTAGTATTTTTTACTGAAGGTTTCTGTTTGGTTTTAATACATTGCTGTCTGGAAGGAGGACTCTTAACGCAGCAGCTCAGTAATTGCACCCTGTGATTAGGATTTTTCATATGTATTTCTACCTCTGATGACACTTAATAGATGAGGCCATAGCAATTTAGGTGCGTGCGCTTCACTTTTCTGGCACGTAGAAGCCGGCGGAAGAAATCCTGTCTGCTGCCTCAGCATTAAAGGTGTGCTCTGTGCAAGATCAGGTATAAAAGCACTGTGCGGCAGATGATCTTGCTGACTGGAGTTAAACTGCACGGCGAGGGAGAGAAACAGTGGGGTTTGGGTCGGTGAAGTAAGTAGGAGTAGTTTCTGTGATCTGAACACACAACACTTGTGGGCTGTGGGATCCTAGCAGGAAAGGAGAGAGTCTGCTTTATGTAATATTGTTCTGCTTCCACTTTGGTCACGTAGAAAATAAAATTCAGAAGTTACTGAAGCTGCAGTAGGAAATGTATTTCCAGCCCTAGCTGGACTTGTCTGTTTGCGAGCAGATCCATGTACCAATAATCTCGAAACATAACACTTAAGGTGCTTGTTTTCCTCTTATTAATAATGTTCCAATTTTCCTGAAAGAAGCTGTGGTTCTGTTAAGGAATTGAGTTACTGCCAAACCCTACGCTTCTGATAATTCTTTCTACGCTGCTTTTAAGGGGGTAAGGTTACCTGTAGGGCAATACGTGTTATATTTAAGTGTTGCAATGGCAAATCACACAAAAAATACATAGGTTTTGCATTTTGCACATTTGTGGTTAGTGGCTGCTTTATTTCTTGGGGGTTTGGGTGTCTCTTTCCGTGGGAGCCTTGCACTGGCTGGCGGGAATCAGTTTAGTGCTCTTGGGAGTTCCAGCAAGGCAGACTTAGCCCTTCAGCTTGGGAGGGATGGATCAGGTGAACTGCACTCACGTTACTTTGCCGTTCTCTTTATGAGTGACTTTAATTGGATGGTTTACCCGTTTGCTAGATGCTTGAGGTTTCTTTTATCACATTGTATAAGAACAGGAGCTTTTTCCATGTCCCTACAGAAAATTTGTTTTCTGCTTTGCTAGAGGGTGGATGTCCTCAATACCACAGTTGTCTAATTCGGTACGCTTCATTTTGGTATCTGTGTCAATGTGTACATGTGTAGACCTAACCAAAGGGCTTGGTGCAAGAGCTTGTCGTCTTTTTGTTGTCCTTATTTGCTTTTTTTTTTCCCAACTATATAATACTGATTGATAGCCACAAAGTACTCATACAAGTCCTGGAAACTCCCATGTTTTAAGTGTCTTCAACTCAGCCAAGCTGTCCTGTTGAAGCTACTTGTGTAACTAATAAAGGATCGAATGTGTGATTTGTAAAGTACTTTGCAATCATTTTGGTAGAAGGTGGTGATAAATGTAGGATACTGTTAAGCTGATTATAGTGACTAGAGTATTTCATAACTTCTGTATTTCATAACTTTTTGTATTTGTAGTGTATTTCTGTCTGAATGCATGTGGATAAAGAAATTTTAAAAGTACTTATGTACTGGGGAAGGGGTGTGATGGTGGGGAACTGCTTTTTGTAGGTCTTTTCTTAAAAATAGAATTATTCATTTATTTTAAATTATTCCCAATTCATTGCCAAGTGAGTCTGGAATTACCTAAGAAAGCAAAAGCCTTTCTTCTCTCTCCACCAGTCTGCAGTAAAGGAGTGTTGGGCTCGCACTGGAAAGAAGACTGTTTGAGCTGCTTTACAAAGCAGATTTAAGCAGCATTAGCTTGAACTGGCTTGAAAGATGAAGCGTATATTTTACCAGTACAACCGAAACATATTCAGTTGTCTCAGATGGGAGGACAGCATTTTCTACAGGTATCCTACTTTTGCCTGTGGGCAGAAGTCCAGGTCATCTTGCAGCTTTCTTGTTCCCAGCAATCTCAAAATGCTCAGAGTAAATATTAACTCTTTTTTTTTTTTCTTTCTTGTACACTACGACATAAAGGGAAACTGATTTTCCCCCATCCCTCCTTTTTTTTTTTCCTCCCCAGTCATCTGCTGAGTGTGTTTCAAATCAGTGTCACAGGTTATTTCAGCAGTAATCAGGCTTTGGGCTTCCCTTCTCAGAAAGAAATTCACTGCCAAACTGATTGGAGGACCCTTTGACCATTTTCCTTGTATAGTATATAACAAACTAGCAGCTTTTAGGTGGTGTTTTCATGTATACTCTGAGAACAAAGGCACCTTCTGAAAGCTCTGGGGGAAAGAGGTGTTTCCTTAATTCACATTTTGTAGTTCGACTTGGGGACTGGAACTAGAAACAGCAACTGGAGCAGATTGTGGCTTGGTAGTATTATATAGGATGTGCTAGAGGTTTTGTAGGTGGCAGCCTAGTAAGTGCATGTAACTCTGGGTTGGATTCAAAGCATGAGCGGGTCAGTTGCGCTCTTAAACGGCTTTGCCTTTTCATATAGGCTGGTGTAATCCAGCTGAGTTCAGTCAGATTAATCCTGATGTACAGTGAGCGTGAATGAGATCAGAATTAGGTTTCTGGGCTTTTTGTACTGGCTAATCATTGCAGTGCACTGAATCGGAATATGAACCCTGTGAAACTGAAGCAGCTAATTTTGAAGAACTTTAGGAATGTTTTTTGTGTGTTCTAACAGGTGGCTTACTTTTTCCTTTTTTTTTTTTTTTTTTTCCCTTATGATCCAAGTAAAAGACCCGTGTTGGTTCTTCAGAATGACTCTCTCTACTCTCAGAGGCGTCCTTACACCAGTGAAGATGAGGCCTGGAAAACCTTTCTTGAAAATCCCCTTACAGCAGCTACCAAAGCTATGATGAGCATCAATGGTGATGAAGACAGCGCAGCTGCCCTGGGACTGCTCTATGATTACTACAAGGTAGATTGGCGTGGGTACACTCTGGTAGCCAGAGGAGCTCTTGTTCCGTCTCTCATTTGCTAGAGGATTTTATGGAAGCTATGAATAGATCATGAGGACTTTAAATTATGTGGGCTTTAAAAGGGAAAAAAAAAAATCCATGTCCCTTTTTCTGAAAATTAGTTTATTTTTAGCTCAGGAAAATAACATCTTCTGGATCTTAATGTAGTGTGTCAAAAGCTTCGGTAGAGCTTTGCCTGTCAAGTCCAGGTTTTGCAGATGGCAGTATATTAATAGAAATAGTGATGAAGAATGAGACTTGGGGAGCATGTCTGTCTGAATGTAAATACACATCGAGAAGAAAACTCTTCTCCTTTTTCTCATGTGATCCCTGTTCTGGTGGGACTGTTTGCTTTGCTGGAGCTTTGGTGTGCTAGCTTAGTCTCAGCTGATACTAAGCTATAACTACAGAGCTTTGGTGGAGTGTGGGGCAGAAGTGTCTGCTTGAAGGAGTTGCTGTCTGCATTCTTCTAACCTTCAGCTGCTGTAATCTGTTAATCCTTTGACAGTTGTGGTTGTCTTCCCCAGCATTCACAGTCTTCTCAGAGACGTGTGCCTTAGTAGATGCTCAGCGGTGAATTGTGCACAGTGGCACAGATAACCTTCGGGTTTGCATGGAATACATTTTGCTGAGCTTTCTTTCCAGAATGTCAGGAGTCTAAGCCAGGGTAGTTATCTCCAGTCCATGTCCGAGTCAGTGGAGACAAGCGGACATTTCTAGGCAGGCAGGCGTCCTGCTCAGGTTAGATGCCGGTGTTAACGGTGGCCAGGCTCACTGGGTGGAGATACCTGTTTTTCCTTTGCTGAGCGAGCAGGGAGTTCACAAGGCTGACTTGGCTTGTGTGCCTGAACTTTTAGTTGGTGTCTTCTAACAGTAGTGAGTGCAGTTGCCAACCGCGGTATGTTCTTTACGCGCTAGGAGAGGTTTCCTTGTGCATCTAAAATCCTTGCCTTGCCCTTTTAGGAGATGGACGTGTCTTAAGTATTGAAATATTCTTGTAATGCTTAATATGGAGATTAGCACTACGCACCCACGACAGAATGCCACAGGCTCACTGACGTGGATGTTATTCAGCTGCTTTTGTGGGAAAACTGGCTTTCTGCTTTGTGCCTGTGCTTGCTATGATCTGGGGGGGAAGGGAAGGAATGCAGGAACCAACAACAAACCCCAAACACTTTCACCAAAATTATTTTAATCCACAAAATCAGTTTTGATTTCTAAGCATGTAGATTACAAAGAGAGGGTTAATGTTGATCCTTCATGCTCAACAAAGCGGAAGGGATTTGATGTACGTTATTGTCTGTTTGGGGGTTTCCTCTTCTGTTTGGGTGTCAGTGGTTGTACAGAAAAATTGGTGTAAGAACAGGTATGCTGCATGCTTTGGTGAAGTAAAATGGTTTGAGCTTGAAAGATTTATTGGGGCTGTTATGAAGTAATGCTATAGGGATGATGTCTAGGCATTTCTAATACGCCCCCTCTGCAATGCTAAAGGCACCTGATGAGATCACCTTTGTATTAAATAAAACGGACAACAAAAAACACCAAACAAACAACCCAAACCAAACAAGTTTTTTTCTCTGTATGCCTAATGGGCTGCTCAGCTCATCATCAGTCACAGCTCAGCTGTGATTAACCAGGCCTTGCAGAAACCCATTTTTGATTAAATTCTGTATTTTTAGCAGTGTTGGCCAAATGCAGTTGGGAAGACCTTTATTTTTCAGTGACTGGTTAGTGTTGGCCTTCTAACAGTCTCCAGCTATGGTAGGCAGTTAAATTTTGCTGCTTACCATAGAAAACCCAACAATTCCAATATTATTGGAGATTCCAGGTTATGTGGAAGAGCCAGGATTTGGGTTTCATTCGGGGTCTGTTAGAGAAATATGCTGTTCACACAGGTATGCCATCAGCATTTGAGTTAGCAGTAAAGTGGTGGCTCCCTGCATTGCACCCAGGTTACCTAACCCAGGCAGTATCTAAGCAGGCTCCAGCGAAAGAAGGTGGTTGGAGTTTACTCCTCCTTACACCAGAAGGTGTTTGCTTTGCTCATTCAGGATGTGTGTTAAGGGTGACAGAAGTTTTGGGCACTATGTGTGGGTTTGCGGAGGAGCTTGCATGGACTTGCTGTAGAGTCAAGGTGGACATGAGCACCATTCACTTGTGCCAGTGGTGGCAAGAGCTGTTTGGGTTGCTGGAGTACTGGCTGAGTGCTCCAGTGAAGCAAGCTGCCACAGGTCAAAGAGCTCACCATCTTCTGTATGGCTTCTGAATGCAGTGTGCACTGTCTGTGTGTGTATGAGGTGGCTTGTGTTGTGGTATGTGGTGGTTTCAGGGCAAATCCTGTTCATGGTGTAAAATTCAAGGAGCAGTACTGAGCTATCTGAAATCCAGAGCACTGGTAGTTACTTTTTGTTCATAAAAGTTCTAATACAGTTTAGGCTAGTGTATTGTATGTAGCCATGCACAAAAATGAGCTGTAGCATCTCAATATGCTTAATGAACCTGGTCTTCAAGGAGAAAGAAGAGTCTTGAGTGGTCTTTGAGGAAGTAGCCTAGAGAGCACATGTTCCTGGGGAATGGGCCATGGAGCAGCCTAGAGCTACACAGGAATTCATGGAGTATTGCCTGGCATCCCAAAGCTGTGTAAGCATCTGTAATGCAAATAATGATGGGTATCAGGCAGCAATGCTTAATTTGACCAAATGGCTCTGTTTTGAGGAGGTAGTTTTGTTGTTTGTTTGGGGGTTTTTTGTATGGGAGGAGGAATGTAATTATAGTATGTCTTGTATTTCCCAGGTCCCAAGGGAGAGGAGATCTTCAACAGCTAAACCAGAGGTAGAACATCCTGACCAAGACCATAGCAAAAGGTATCAGTTTTCATTATTGTGTGTCTGCTTATCTCCCTTCCCTCGTAAACCACCAAAGCTGCTGAAAGAAAGTAACTTGCTGCACTGTGGTGTTGTGCTGGAAGAGTGAAGTTATTTGCTTTTACTCTGTGCCTTTTACTGGGCCCTTTGCTTTTACTCTTGTGCTGCCCCAGGAACAGGATGGGGATTGGACCATAAAGTGGAGAGCTGAGGCCAAAACTGCTTCTCATTGCCACCTGCCTGCTTTCTGTGTAGAGGTGGTGTACAGTCAGTGTAGCAAAATCTGCTCTCTTTAACACCAGGCTCAGCCTGGTAGTACGGGCACCCCTTCTGAAGGTTGCAGAGATGACTAGCAACCCTTTTTGCATGTGGTTGCCTCAGCTGCTCTCTGCTGCTTTTGTTCTTGGGTACCAGCAGCATTGCTTCTTCATGCATGGACTGATAAGGAAGGAGTTCAAAGTGCTTATGGTTTAGTTTTGGTTTTGTATTGTTTGGGGACTTCTTTCGTATCCTCTAGAACTCCTTTCTTTCTTCCTCTTCCTGCCTTCTCTCTTTTGTGCCTCCTCAGCAGAAGATGATACTGCTTAGGTAAATATTACAAACGTGAGGTTCATTCAAGCCAGGCTTCCAGTCCTACCATCCTCTTCCTTTGGATAGACTAGAATCCTTTAAGGACTCAAAGTGAGGTTTTGTGGTCTGGCTGAGCCGATTAAACAGCTTGTTTTGAAGAGCAGTCTGGTTCTCATCATGTGTTCCCACTGCTCCCCTTGCACCAGCTGTGGTGTTGCACTGACCCATCACCTAGCAGGTAAAAAAAAAAGTGGCTAGTTTTCTGTCAGTGGAACAAGCCAAACTGGCTCACCAAGGAGACTGGGGGAGCGTCAGAATTGGTGCAGAGGAGAGGGCAGGACCACACTGTGGGGAGAGAGAAAGGGAGGGCAGGCTTAGTGGCTACTGGCTGTGAGGTCAGCTTAGCCACAGATCTCAGTGTTGTCCTGGCAGAAATGAGTTAATGGGCTGGCGAATGGCAAGTTATGCAAAGCACTCCCAGGAGTCTCGGTGTGGATTTTCTTGGGGGCTTGTGCATGAAAGAGGGGTGTAATTTCCCTATTAGTGGCTCCTGGGTGGCACACAGTCCAAGGGCAGAGCAGCAGCAGCAGCCTTGCTCTCAGTCCTTCTCTATCCATCAAAGAGCAGTTTCATGGAGCCGGTGTATTTCAGTACATGGTAGGAAGGACCTTGAAGCACTTAGCTGTGGACCACTGTTTTCCAGGCAGTGAGGATCTGGGCTATGAGCTCTCACCCTTTGCTCTAGGGTAATTCATGTCCAAGGTGGTGGTGTTAGCAGTGGGTGAGGTGAGTGGTTTTTTTTTTAATGAGTTTCTCAGCTTTTCAGGTTAGGATTGAACTGCTCTGCAAAAGCAGGAGAGTTGGTGTTGGCTGTCCATATCCAGAAGGCCGAGAAGTATTTCTAGGTCTTAATGAGAAAGTGAGCTGTATAATTTATGCACTGCTGTTTTTCTTTGCTCTTTAAAGGAACAGCATCCCCAGTGTGACAGAACAGTCACTCATTTCTGCTGGAGAAAACAGAGTCCAGGTTCTGAAAAATGTGCCTTTCAATATTGTTCTTCCACACACGCCCCAGATGGGCATGGATAAGAGAGGCCACCTTACAACACCGGACACGACAGTCACCGTTTCAATTGCCACCATGCCCACCCATTCCATCAAGACGGAGACACAGCCCCATGGCTTTGCAGTGGGCATCCCACCAAGTGTCTACCATCCCGAGCCCCCTGAGCGGGTGGTGGTCTTTGACAGGAACCTCAACCCTGACCAGTTCAGTTCCAACACCCAGCCTCAAAACTCCCAGAGGCGAACACCAGATTCCACCTTCTCAGAGACCTTCAAGGAGGGCGTGCAAGAGGTACCAAGAGAGGCAGTCACTATGTGTGTGTGCTTCTTGATCTGGATGGAGAGATCCAGTTCCATCTTTAATTGTTCTTGCTGTGTGAGCCAGAAATGTGTCCAGTGACTGAGGAATAGAGGACTTTCTCAGATGCATGACTGAGTAAATAAAACCTTCACAATATGAAATACTTATCAAAAGCAAATTACTAATGTCACTAGTGACAGAGCCTTAGGTATGCAGAGTGTGGAAATAGTTACCTTGATCCACAGGGCTGTGCTAGGTTTTGCTGGAGTTCAGCACTCCATGGTGCCTTTGCAGGTACTGAAATGAAGTGACTATGTCTGTAAGCTTCCTTACTGCCAGTTTCTAGGTGTGGTGTGTGTCAGTGAGAAATAGTTGGTTTATTTAGGGGCCTTGAGTGAGAATTAAACCTGGATGAAAATCTGTAGGTTTTGTGTTACGGTACCAACTGGAAACAACAACGTAAGAATGTTTTGATTTTTAAAAAGCCAGACCTGGAGGTGCTGTGTTGCTATGTATTTTCTTTGAGATTTGGGAGAACCTTAAAATGTTGCCCCAAGCTGATTCAGAAGGTTTTTGAGATGATGTGCTTAGTTGACACCCAAAAGTTTTGGAGTAAAACCCTGCTCAAGAGTCCTGTTTGTACAGACCAAAATATCAGTTGGTATTGGATGATCAGTTTGCCTGCCAGAAGTTCTGTGGTAGCGAATATCTGTTTAATCTTAACTTCTCTTGTTGCTGTTGTGTTAATTGATGCATTGATTTGTTTTGTGTCTGCCCCAGGTGTTCTTTCCTACTGAACTGAATCTCCGGATGGCCAACATGAATTCGGAAGATTATGTTTTTGACAGCATTTCTGGGTAATGCTTTAAAGCCCCTATTCACCCATACCCCCCTGTTTTACAGTTTTACAGTTGTCCATGAGCAAGCAGTACAGATCGTGCCTTTCTGTGCTAAGTCTGTATCGGGCACTGGAGAGGCTGTGGATCTCAAAACCACGACAGTATTTACTTATTTGAATTCTACAGTTGAAAATCCTATGTGTATCTCTAAGGAAAACTACTTTCAGGAAATCTACCTGCAGGGTTGGAAATGCCACCCAGTTTCAGCTGTGGTGCTGTACCAACTCCCTGTCCCAATAGAAGACGCAGTGAAGCGTCTTGGAGCTGGCTTCCAGGTGTGCCCCTCTCCCTGGCCTGCTTTTCTTGCTTTCTTCCTGCTGGAAATCCACAGCAGAAATAGGAAGCAGGAAACTCATCTGAACTCCTAAGAGACGGGAATAAACTAGTTGTTTGGTTAGTTGCAGCTGACCAAGAGGGAAGAAAAGACCTTGGTTACTGAATGGTTTATTAGCTTGTGAATTTAATTTAATTGCTAATAGATACTTTTCTATGAGAGCAGCTTGCTGCTCTAAGCCTGAATAGGGAGCCTACAGTCTTGCCTCCTGATACATCTTGGGATTTAGCTTGCCAAGAACTTATCTTAAATGTTCATTCATGAAGGAAATGGTTGAAAAAGGGGCTCATCCTGTTTTCCAACTTCCTTGCCTGTTAATGGCTTAGTGAGTCAGCTAACGACTTTGGAATTTCTCCAAATTAAATGTGGAACATTTAATCAGCTTTCCAGGAAAATGCCTTAGAAATCGTTGCTCTCTTTGCTTTGTAGGAATAACTTTGAATACACTCTGGAAGCCTCCAAGTCCCTCCGACAGAAGCCTGGGGACAGCACGATGACTTACCTGAATAAAGGTCAATTTTACCCCATCACACTGAAAGAAGTCAGCAGCAGTGAAGGAATCCATCACCCCATCAGTAAAGTCCGAGTGAGTGGCAGCTCTTGTGGTTTCTTAGGAAAGAGGGTGTGTACAAGGGTAGCCTTAAACTCTCCCAGAGTGCAGTAATCTAAACCAGAGCATCAGCACTAAGGCCAGCTTACCCACTCTCTTACGTCAGTGTTCATTCCTTTGCTGTCCACCTACTTCCAGACCAACCCATCCTGGCTCAGTCTGTTAAGAAGTGGTGTCAGCACTTGTGTAAAGATGATGCAACACCTGGAATGAGATCCTTGAACTGCAGTTAGGAGAGCAGTTCTGCTCATCCCTGTTTATGACCCAGAAAGCTCTGCTGTCTGCCTTCCTGTTTGGCAGCAGCGTGCCAAGTTGAACCTGCCTAAAGCAGAAAACAACACCACCAAGAACTTCCAACACAAATGTACTCTCTGGCCTTTTGTTTCAAATGTTTGCAGGTTTGGTTTGGGTTTCTTGTTTGATTGGTGTTTGTAGTTTGTTTGGTTACTTTTTTATATCTTACTCTTCCCCCTTTCCTTTCAGAGTGTCATCATGGTTGTGTTTGCTGAAGACAAAACAAGGGAAGATCAGCTCCGGCACTGGAAGTACTGGCACTCAAGACAGCACACAGCCAAACAAAGATGCATTGACATAGGTGAGGAACACTGTCATTGGTGATGTCAAACTTCAAACCTAATTCTTTGGCAAGGTTTGGTTTTTGGCAAATTCTTTGTTATTTTAAGGAATCTCTGGATCACACTCTCTGTTGTCCATAGCTTTAATGAAATCCCAGAGAGCGCTTTTGATTGCTTAGAACGAATGCTGTAGTTCTCAGAACTCCTTAGAGAGGCCAATTTTGGGGAGGATTTTGGTTGGTGAGCACTCTGAGTTTAGGGTTTTGCACTGGGAGGTCTAACACTCCCCTCCAGACCACATTGCTTTGGCATATCCTGGTGCTTGTAGCAAAATCACAGCTTATAGACTCTGTGGCTGTCCTGAATACTGCATTTATTCAAGGGACGAGATCCTTGTAGAAATACCTGGACACTACTGATCCTCCTCAGCACAGCTTCACTCGCAACTGGCGTTTGCTACACATAAAAAACAAAACACTGCAAATCTCCACTTGCCTCCAGACAAGGCTGGGGCTGGCTGGCTTCCAGCCTTCTGGGGCTGAAGGCTGGGTTGTACTCCCTGTCCCTTCCTTCTGTGAATAAGAGCAGGAATTAATCACTCGGCACTTAAAGCAGACGCGCATGCAAATCTTTGTTATTGAAGGAGTTTTATGGAGAGCTTATGCCTCTGCCATACAGGTAGTTTCCCCAACATAGCTGGGTTATGGCACAGGGCATGCGATATTTGGTATATCTGCTTTTCTCACTGGAGTTTCTAATTTGGAATTTCTGCTGAGTCCCATTTTTGTCCTTCCTCCTGTTTGTTGCTGTGGGTTTTGTTTTTGTACAAGAATAATTTCCAACCTTTTTAATGATCCTTTTTAAAGTATTGTTCAGCTTCCTTTGCCCCCAAGGAGTTGCTGAGGAGTAGCAGTTTCTGGCTGCCTTGTGTGATTTAAGAATTCCAGATGGTATCGTCTCTGCCTCATACATATTTCTTTCTATCAGCTGATTACAAGGAGAGTTTCAACACCATCAGTAACATTGAGGAGATCGCGTACAACGCTATATCCTTCACTTGGGACATCAATGAGGAAGCCAAGGTATGTGACCATGATTCTATTTCCTGTCCTTTCAGCAGATTCGGGGGCTGGGGGAGGGGAAGGGTGTGTGGCCTACCTGGTGATTAGCATGTAACAAGTTTGTTTATGCTCTGACATTAGGCAAAACCTTCTGGCTATTTCTTAAGAGGGTTTGCATGTGCAACTGCGGAGAGCTCAGCAACTGCTGTAAGGTTCTTGGCAGAGCTGCCTACCTGACAGACAAGTACTGACAAAAGGAAGCGCGGAGTGTTTCCAGAGCAGGTGAAGTGGCGCAGGAGGTGTGATGGAGCGGAGCTGGGCTTGGCAGTGAGCAGTCTGCTGGAGGATCCCTGTGGGAGACTGGGGGCAGCTTCTGAGGGAGTTAGGGCTGTGGCAATGAGCTCACCTTTAGCAGAAGAGGGAGTAGCTGCTGCTGTTGAGCTTCCAAAGCATGTGTTGCTGAAACTGCGGATCTCAACACCCAGTGACCTATTTCAAGCTGGCGCAGCCTCCTGGTGAACTCTGATGTGTTTTTCAGAGCTGTGGGCACTGTGGTAGGTGTGTAAGTATGGACAGCTTCCCTAACTAGCAGCTAACTGCAGCTGTTTAAAGCTGCTCCAGCTTCTGAAAAAGGCCCATGCATCTTCTGGGTACAAGGCCAGAGTGCAGTCACCTCAGTTCCAAAGCTTTCCCCACCAGTTTGTTGCTGGAGTCAAAGTGCAGGAATTTTCTTCAGAGAGTTTCATTACTGCCTGGATTTTTATTAAAAGTTGGGAATGGTTTTCTTCAAGTTTGGGAGACTGGCCTTACTAGTTGTCAGCATCGTGGGCGAAAACTACCAATGGCTGCCTACCTTGGGGGACTTTCGAGCTCTGAGCAGAAAACACATGTTCTTCTCTGGAGCTGTGTGTGCCACTGTATGTTGCAGGAGGCACAAGGGATCATGTCACTGCACAGAGCTCACTGTCACCACGAGCTTTGCCCTGTGCTGCACAGGGGGGCTATGGAGAAAAGAGACAGGGAGAGGTTGTATGGGGACTGCTGCCAGGTTTCAGCTCTGTGGGAGAAGTTCAGGATGCTTGGCAGGTAGCAGCAGGGAGCTGTGTGTGCTGCTGATGAAAGTGCCGCCTTGCAGTATGTGTGACACTACTTGTGAAGCTGGTATTGGGTGCCAGGCTTCCCTGTTCACCAGATTTGGGTTCAGTCGGGTTGAGAGGGATGGCAGGAAGGCCCTGCCTGCTAGAGGATGCTAAAAGGCTGAAGATCTTTGAAGCATGGAAGCGTTTCACTATGTGAACAAATAGATGAAGCTTCAGAAGGGCTATCAGAAGGAGGTGCTAACCCAGGATCAGGGCTTAGAGATGGTGTGAGAACCCTGTGGCTGTCCCAAGGAAAAGCATCCCTTCCCACCAGGTGACAGAGCCCAGGCCTGTGAGGCAGGTGGTTGTTGCCCAGGTACTCTACAGACCCCTGAGCAGGTAGTTTCAGTCTGTAGTGAAACTGCAACTTGAAAAGGTCTATGGACCCTTATGGTGACATTTCAGCTCAGGACTGAACTTAGTGGGATGAGGTGGTGTGTGGAGGTGTGAGCCAGACTGGTTTTGTAACTGCAGAGACAAATTTGCTTCCAGATTCTCAGTCTTAGTATGTGAGATACATATACTTCAGGTACTGGTTTGTATGAACCTGCAGAGTGGACTGTTGATGCCAAGAATGCAAGACTTAGCTCCTGGGATCAGAATCATGTTAAGACAAAAATACTCTAGACTTCAGTGTTCAAATAATTGGCATTTTTAACAAGTGCTCTGTGTATTTAAGTGTCTGTTTAACTTCGTTTTTTTACCCTGAGTGGATGTGTTTTGTCAATGGTTGGATTTCTCACCAGTAGAGCTGCAGTTCTTTCTCAACTCCTGTGATCTTATCAGGAGATGCCTGAGCCAATTTCAACAATTTTTATTGCATGGTTCATTTACCTTGCATGCTCTCTCTCTTTTATTTTCCTTTTCTTTTTTTTTCCTTTGTGATATTTCCCCCTCCCCCCAACCAAAATAACCCAAACCCAATAGTCTTGAAGTATATGAGGAGAGCAGGGAATCAAGAGAGCTGAGTTTCTGATGCACAGAAAGTCCTTCACAGTGATAAATAGTGTGTTACATTTAATAACAGCAGCGGTGCTGCATACATGGTGTATTTAGCCAGCCAACAATCCTCGATTATTAGGAGTTTGCTTCCTGAGCCCTGGAGTTTACCTGGTCCAGAGCCAGGTGATTCTTCTGGGGGTGCTGCTCTTTCCCTCTTGCTTCCAGTTTGCTGCTGGAGTGGTTTGATCCTGTGCAGCAGTGTCATGTGGAAGGGGACTGGGGCTCTGCGTTTGGGGGTTTTGATGTAATTATTCATTTTGGCACCCAGGGCTCTGTGTGTGTGTTGTATTTGACGTAGCAGAAGCTGCCCCTAGCAGCTCTGGGACCAGGTACTTGCCCTTTTTGTGCTGGTCCTCACTGTGGGGATGTGCAGGAATATCATACATCTGCTGCTTTGTCTGTGCAGGAGGGTGTCACCTGCCTGAGAGAGTGCTTTGCCCGTCCCCTTGAGCCATTTGGGGATTTTGTAAAATACGTGTCTTGGGTGAAGAAACTCGGTTTTCAGGCAGTACAAGTCATGTGCTCCCTCTGTAGCAAGGGAAATGTGCAAGGGAATTTTGTAGCTGCAGAGCTGGGGGATGGAAAGGATGTTCAGGTGTACTCAGCAACGGGTGTGTCCCCGTTGTGTTGTGCTGGGAGAGCTGAAGGCAGCGCTGGAGCTTTGGGCTCTGGAGGCACCAGGCAGGCCTGGCTCTGCATGGGTGGAATTGGCTTTGTTGCTGTGCTGTTTGTGAGCACGTGCGTGAAGAAACCAGAGTATTTCGTGCATGACAGACACTTCCCACTCCGGGATCAGGCAGTGTCCGTGGGCTTCAGAGCAAATGCTGTGTGCTTCTTTTTGGCAGCTCCTTTCTGCCCTCTTCTGTTGCTTTGGAACATCACAGGAGCTTCTAGAAGCAGCTGCTTTATAGGGGAGCGGTGGGTTAAGTATTCCGTGACCTTTGCAAGAGTGTGTTCAAGCTAGAAAAGAGCCTAGGATTCAAAGCGTCTCTGCTCTGAGACAGTGAAGGGAGCTGAGGATGGGGAGGAAGGCGAGTGATTCAGGTGGGCTTCCAGGTACCTGTGTTAGAGATGAGGTCTGACCCCATCACCTGACAGACCAGGGGAATGGAATAGGTGGATGAGGAGACCACCATCCTTTGGAGAAGAAAAGGGGAGATGGTGAACTGGGAAATTGGTTGATGAACCGGTGAGTTGTGAATGGGATATTTAGGAAAGCCAACACAGCTACTCATTCAGGAGCCAGTTGTAGTTGGGTGGAAGCTTGATCTGATGAGTGTGACAAAGATGTGTAACTGATACTCACTTGCATGCAACAGGTAATGCTGGAGTTACCCTGAGGCTTGTGGAGACTTCAAACACTTTTCCACCCAGTCCTGAGTGTCTGCTGTGTTGGGCAGACAGTTGAGGTGGGGTTCCTCTGCAAAGCAGCTTTTAGATGTCTGAACACAAGCTTGTCATCCTTTGCTTCTATGACTTCATTAGGGATGGGGTGTTTAGAGCTGGGATGGAGCTTTCTCTGGAGGTGCACGCTCCTTGTTGACTGAGCAGGCTTGGCCGTCTTTAAAATCAGGGGGTTTTAAAGCTAGGGAAGAGGAGTCCTGCCCTTGCAGCCCTTCTTGTGTCTTGGACCTCCATATGTCAATCAGGAGAAGCATTTGTAGGTTCAGGTCATGAGTTTTTGAGGTTTGTACACCATGCCCAGTTTTCCTTCTCTTGGCTGGTATCCATTAAAAGTCTTCTAACAAAAGTTGCCAGTATATGCATGGTTAAATGTACATTTCTTCTGAGTGTTTTCTGCTGCTCTTCATGGTGTTGGCTGTGTCCTGTTTCCTCCACTGCATTACCCGTTAGGCTGTGAAGCAAGCTCTCTATCCCTTAACTCTGGCCCGAGGACATGGCCTGCTCTCAGGTCAGTGGCAGTTGAACAATCTGGACAGATTGGTTTCCCCAGGGTTAACTGGCTTTGCTGGATCTCGCTTTGCTCAAATCCTGTCTTGGGCTCCTGCCCTGTGGAGCAGGAGGGTTGGGGCCTTAAGTCTACACAGGGGAAGTTGTCTGCACCGTGATTGCAAGAGCCTCCTTGCCCTGTTTCTGTAGTCTTTACAGTTGCAGGACCCTGCTGTTGTGCTGGGGCACCCCTTCCACGTTTCCCAACGTGTCCCTTCTGAAACATAGCGTTGCTTCCAGCAGCAGCCAGAGAGGGGCCCCGGTGGAGGTCTTCTGCCTGGCTTGCTTTAGGCTGCATGGTGGGACTGTGGCCAAAGGTGATGTCACTGCACATTAAGGGCTCTATTGTCCTCCCACTCCTTCCCTCCAAAAAACCGCATTGTAACCAGATGCTCTGTGAAAAACCCTTTCTGCTGAAAAAGCATGCATGATGCCGGTGTAAGGGGTGCTTCAAGCTGGAGAATGTTTTTTGCTGCCTTTTGACCAAAGGGAAGGTGCTGTGGTGTCTCTTTAAGGGACAACCTGAATGACAGAGTAATTAGAGTGCCTCTTTATCTTTTCCTTCTTTTTGTTTTTTTCTTTTATCTTGGTCTCTTTTGTCCAAGAAAGGTGCAACAGTCCTGTGTTAGGATAATTTGCAGCTGATTTGGGTTGCCTTTTGAAATAGCAGATTGGGCAACAAGGGTGGTCTTTTGGCAGATCCTTGTGTGCTGACTGAACTTCTGGGGCAGGATTTTTTTTGTTCATGTTTTGTTCAGATGAGCTCAGTTTTTGGAGAGGGTGGATCCCTTGCTACAGCGTGGAGCAAGGCTGGGTGTACACCACTGATTTGTTTTAGGAGTTTATTCTAGCATAATCCTCAGTTGGTGTACACTGTAGAAAGAATTTCATCTTTTTTGATTGATGAATATTGCATGCATTTATATGGAT